TAATCTATCACTTGTGGAGCATACATAAATAGAACTCTTTACATAGGGATCTTGAGTGGAGTATATTAGCTTGATTGGGTCCCTGAGGGGAAGAATCCTCTATGATTCTCTATGAGCGGCTGCAATACAAGGTGGAAAGGTCCCAACCTTTGTCATTGTGTGGTTAGCTTGTAGGCAGCTGTGGACCAGATAGTGTTGGAAGAAGCAATTGAGGGAAAGATCAGAGGGAGAAGAGAGCTAGCAGCTACTATAAATTAGGTAAGCTGGCGGGTGGTCCTGAGAAAGGGTTTTGGGTTGGCACCAGGGGAGCAAGTACACATGGCTAGCAGTGAACAGTGCCAGTCCTAACTCTCCTTCTGAATGGCTGATACAATGTGTGAGAGTACCTCTGTCTCCTGCCTGCCCCCTCTCATGTATAACTTGAAATATGATGCATAGATCCATAGATATCATTCACTATTAATTCAATAAATATGTACTAAGCAATTTCTATATACCAATATTGTATATTCTGGGTATATAACAGTGAACAAAACATCTTCGTTTGTATCAGACGTGCAGTCTAGCAAGGGAGATGGGCAGTAAGAAACTAGTTATAAAATATAGTGTCAAATTCTATAAAAAATATGAAGTAGGGTAAAGGGAGAGGTTTATAGGGATGGGTGGTTTGGAAAGTCACTATAAAGATGTGAACTTAGAACAAATCCCTGGGTAAAACATGGGAGCCAGCCATGTAGTTATTGGGTAGAAAGAATTCCAGACAAAGTAAAGAAAGTACAAAGAACTTGAGATGGAAGTTTGCATGTCATGATCAAGGATAAAAGAGGGGGGCAGAGTTGCTAGAGTGGGTTAAGCAAGGGAAAGAAGTAGTTGGAAGTTTTAGGAATAGCAAGCAGTCAGATTATTTAGGCCTTGTAAAACAGAATTGTAAAGGTTTTACGATTTGACTTTTTTCTTTATTCATAATTCTTTTTTGATCATTAAAATTCAATTGAGTTTGCTCATTCATTTATCCCTGCTTTTATTGAGCTGATATCTATTAAGCACAATATATGTCAGTTCTTGGTGGTTGTGTGTCTTATTTCCTTCTGTCTTTGCTATTTGGTAGATTTCCATAGTGTAAGGGTTGGAGTCATTTCTCTCCTTTATGTGGTTGTTCTACTGGTAAATTTTATAGCTTTATGTGTTTCTATGGTGCTATTTACCTTCCTTTCACATAAAAATGTCTATGAAACATTTACTGTGTCTTGAAGAACAAGTCTAGTACTGGTGAATTCGTTCAGTTTTTGTCTGAGAATGATTTAATTTCTCCTTCAAATTTGAAAGATAGTATTGTTGGGTATAGAATTATTGGTCGAAACTGTCTTTTTTTTTTCATCATTTTGATGATGTCAGCTCATTCTCTTACCTGTAAGGTTTCTGTTACTATGTCTGAGGTTAATCTGATGGGATACTCTTTATAGGTAACTTATTGATTATCTCTAGCCATTTTTAGGATTTTCTTTTTATCTCTGTGACACATTTTCACTTTTTATCTTGAATCAATTTGGCATTCTGAATTTCCTGGATCTTGATGTCTATATCTTTGTATTGATTTAGAGAGTTTTTCAGTTACTATTTTATGAAACTGATTTTCTGTCTTTTTCCTTTTCTTCACCTCTGGGATACTCACTATATAGATAGTTGGTTGTCAGATTAGGCCCTATCATTTGTGTATATTATTTTCATAATTAATGGACACTTTTTCTTTCTTTTTGACAATTTGGACTGTCTCAAAGGTTATATCTTCAAGTTCAGAAATTCTTCTCTCCTCATGGTCTAACTTCTACTTTCTACATAACTTTTTTATTTTTAAGAATTATTTAATTTTATTTATTGCTATTATTTTAAAATTTGCTATAGGGCACATGTACGAGAGAAAGAGAGAGAGAGAGAGAGAGAGAGAGAGAGAGAGAGAGAGACAGACCTGATCTTGGATTTGAACCATGATTGGCCATGTGGGAGTCCAGAACCTTAACCACCACACCACCTGCTGGCCCCTGTACATAATTTTCTATTTCCTATACTCTTCATCTCCATGATTTTTTGTAGAAGATGTCCACCTTTCTCTCAAATTTCTCTTCTATGTCATACATTGTTTTTCTCATTTCCTGAAGCTGTATTGTCTTGTATTTCATTGAGTTTTATTATTATTAGTATTCTAAAATCCACTTCTAACATGGCTGTGATTTCCTTCATTTTGTCTTTTGTTAGTGTGGAGTTGGTTGTTTCTTTGAGGGAGAGAGATTTCCTGGTTTCTTCATATTTCTTGTGTTCCTCAATTGATTTTTCAGTATCTGATGGAATACTTCCTTCTTCCTAATTTCTGTATTAGGTTTTTTTTTTTTTTCTTTTTTTTTTTGGAGAGGTTTTTGCTATAGGGTACGTGCGCTCGCCAGACAGAGAGAGACAGAGAGACAGAAAGTGAGAAATCATCCCCTCCCCAGAGGGGATGGCCATGCCACAGTCCCTTCTCCTCCATTCTCCTCTTGGGATCTTGGGCACACATGCACACATGCCTGGTGTGAGTTTAAGCCACTGGGTCCGGGACTCAAACCGCGGTCGACTACGTGGGAGTCCAGCGACATAGCCATTACACTAACTGCTGGTCTCTGTATTAGGTTTTATAGTGGCAGTGTTTTGACTTTTTTTGTTTGGGCTTTTATTTATTGAAGACTTTGTGTATTTATGAGACACCAGCTAAGTCTAGGAGACTTAAGGCCAATGTTTTTGGATTCTAGCTGAATTTGTGTTGTGCCCTGGTGTTTCACCTGTAGAGGGATGGGTTCCCTTGAACCCATGGTGACTTCTGCCTTGTAGGATGGTTGCTTGAGTTTTCAGACCCTGCATAGGGAGCAGGGTCCTCCTCTGGGAGAGCTAACTGAATGAAAATAGCATCTTAAAGTAAGTACTGACCTCTGCCTTGGTTGGTTTGTTTTGTACGTAGAAAAAAATGGAGGCATTCGTTGAGAAGTTGTAAATTGGGATGGCTAGTTGTTTAATTAGCCTTTGTACACAATCCCTGGATATTGAGGAAGCTTTTTGCTCTGTTTCTTAATTCTCTCCATAGTCTGGAACCCCTATGTAAGTGGTCTGATGTAGTCTGACAGCAGAGGTTGTGGTTAGTACAAGGGGGAGCTGGCCATGCCCTCTTGAAAGGCTGCAAGGTTGAGCAGGAACTGTGTACCTCTGCTCTGTAGCCAGGAGATGGGGCTGGAGTTTCTGGAAATCTGTGTGACTAGAGGGCAAAGCTAGAACTGCCTGTGTCTGCCCACTGAGCCCCAGGGCTGGGCTATGGGACCATGTAGGAACTACTCACATCTGGTGACACAGCCACGTGAATAATGATCATAACTACCTGAAGCCAGCCATGCAAGCAGCATGGGTCTGATGGTGCAAGCTGCATGGATATGCTGGCCTGTGCATGTCTTTGCAGCTGAGTGGCAGGGCTAAAGCTGCTATGCATCTTCAGGGCCAGCAAGCAGATCTCAAATGCACAAGTCTGTCTGTACTTCTGCCTATACATTTACTGGCATAAACTGGGTGGGGTCACTGGCCATGTCTGTGTAGCCAAGGGGAGGGGCTGGAGCTGTGCCTAGCTGTGACCCAGTGAGAATTGCTCAGTCTCTCCTGTGGGGTCAGGCCCCTGTGGCAGAAAGTAAACTGCATGATGCCCTATCTGTTTCTCTCCATCCCAAGAAGGAACATCCCTGGCACCATCTTTTTTGTTTTCTACCTTTCCTAAAAACCTCCACTCATTCTTATTCTGGGAAATGCAGAGAAGCTACATTAGAGAAGGCAACAGAGGGACAGAGATCTGGTCCTGGTGTCTGGAGGAAGGAGGAAGGGTGGAGGAGTGGGAGTGTAGTAGTCCTTCTAGTCAGTTGGAGGGGGGAATGGCCTAATTTGGCTCTTGAGGTAATGCTATGGCCTGGTGATTGGGAATGGGGGGTTTTCTGTCTGGGGCAGCAAATTCTTAAAGCTTGTAGTCTGTTTCTCTTCATGCTCTCCTGCAATAGGGAAATGAAAGGGTTCAAGGTGGAAGTAAGGAGTTGAAAGTCAGAAGTTTCAGAGGTTTGTCTCACTCACCGCCCCCCATACTTACCCCCTACATCCCCCCACTGTGGGACACTTTGGTCATCTTGGGTTCCTTTTTCAGTTTGGACAGGTGACCCATGTTTTCTGTCTTTCACTCGAGACTCCCCAAACTCCCCACAGTCCTGCTCTTGTGTTCTCTTGGTCTCACCTTACTCCTGTGCTCCAGATACAGACATCTATCCAACTTCTTTGGACTTTCCTATGAAAGAGATGCCATGATGAATGTCTCTGGTCAGCCATTTTGCTCATATAGTCTTCCAAATGAAGATTGTATTGGAAAGATCTTGGGTCTCATAGACACCCTGCTAGGCTAGAAGACCAGTCTTAGGATTAGAAGGAGACTAGAATGTCCCAGAAGTTAGGAAGCAGGAACCATAGCCATAGTCTACTACCATGGAGAGGAGGCTGGGAGGAACATCTCTGCTAAAATGAATTATTTTTAATCATTTCTACTATCCTGAGTTACTTATATAAGATTGAAAGTTTGAGCGTAGTGCATACAATTAGCGAACCTTGCTTCATATATTTAAGGCAACAAAGAATTGCTTTTTTCCCTATAGAGTGCCTTTTCAGCCACTCTATAGGGAACCAGTCTTCTGGAATTACCATCCCAGTAAGACTACATGCAATGGAGGAACCATCCCAAGAAGAAACTGTGGTACCCACGTGAAGGAAAAGTAGAGCATCAAAAGCCAAAATATGATCAAAGCTATCTCCATTAGGTGATGACATTGCACTTCATTGAGGCAGAAGGAGGAGCATATTTTGGGTATGAGGTGGGATTGGAGAGCAAATGGGCCATTGTTAAACATGTTAAATTTAATAGTG